CACGAGTTGACTCCCCAGTAATTTATACCTATGTCTACCGCGGATTTTGAAAATGTGCTGTTAATGTCAGTTAGAGCCCAAATGGGAGTTTCCTTTGGGAACAGGGGGGCCTGTTGCAACTTGACTTTCAATAGAAGCGCTTTAGGAAAGTTTTAAAGGACACGTGGGGATAGCTGTTTGCCAGCGGTGAGGATGGTTTTCTTGGGACCCAGGACTGAGAAGTGTGTTCAGCTTCAGTAAATCTGAAAACCTGCCTCCCTGCAGTGTTGCGTTGCAGTGGGAAGTTTTCTGACTGCCTCGATCAAAGGTGTGTGCCCAGCTGGAAAAACCAACCATGTCGGGAGAGCTCGGCACCTGCTCCCATGTACTGGTTTCCTTATGATTTAGCAGTGAGAGATGCAGGATGAAGGTGGCCAAACCCTCGCCCAGGTCCCCAGGAGGGCTCAGCCTATCTGTGTTAAATCCCTCCCAAGCACGGGCTACACACATAGCTCCTACCACTTTGTTCATGCAGCGTGGTTGGAGATGTGGGCTTTTGCAAGTCAGTCTGGGTGCTTGGCCTCAGAGGGGGCAACTTCATGTCTCCTTCATGTCTTGGTGTCTCTTGTTGAGAAGGTGTTGGAAACACCAGGCACTTGCAGCTGAAAGGCAGGAAGGAGGTGCTGGGCTCTGGGTACCTGGTGCGAGACATGAGTTCTGCTTCCCCGCTTTAAACTCCTGCTGTTCTCAGAATGGAAATGGGACTGTCTCCACTTTCAGATTTATCATCGTATTTGAAAGCTATATGAGGAGTAATAAGAGTAAAATTTCGTTCTCCAAGGTCACAGTTGGACAAAGTGCTTAAGCACTTAAGTGCACATTTAAATACTTTGTGGAGGTCTCCAGTTTGAGTCTTGTTTATTTTTTAAGCCATAAGCATATAAACTGAAATTTGAAAAACTGTTTCAAGAAGTGAGATTAAAACCATTAGTAATATTCTCCTTTGAATTCACCACTCCATCTTTCCAGATATTACTCCCAGTCAGTAGGTATAAAGTCACTAGGACTGAGCTTTGCATTTAACAAACATCACAGTATCTGCTGGAGACCAGCTGCGGAGATTGAGGGCAGAGATGCCAAAATAAAGTTGCCAGAAACAAGAGATGATGCATCTTTTCACAGAAGAAGCTTCAGATCCCAGTCCTTCTGCTCTGAGTCTAAAGTGAATTTCCTCTTCATTTCAGCATTCCCTAATTATGTTTTATAAAAAAAGCGTGTCGCTTTGTTGTTAACTCAGGTTCATTATGGTTTTCAAAAAAGAGTGATTTCCTTTTAAATGGCCCAACAGTACAGTTTGGCTTGTGCTTAGTCTGGGCTCATTCCTGTTTGGTAGGTTTATGATACAAAAGCCAAAATATACAAGTCTTGATCGTTTGGCAAACAGCTTGGGTAAAACTGTGTATTTTGTATGGAGGGATTGTGCAGCTGCAGGGGTTTTGTTTTGCAGTAGATTAAATTAGCAAGAGCTTCCATCAGAGTCAACAAACAAAGATCAGTACCCAGTCCCGCAAGTGCAAAGCTGTATACAGGGCTTTTTAATTGGAAGCCAAAGTTGATACCATGGAAAAAATCCTAATAGTCTAGAAGAAGGAAGAAAAAAACCTGAAAGGAACAGTTAAACCAGAATATTTTTCAACCATATTTTCCCCAAGGATATATCCCAATTGGGAAGAGACCATGGGCAAACACTCAATGTCACAACAGGTGCTGGTCTGATAGGAAGGAGGTGCTGGAGCTCTGTCTTCTTTTTCTTTTCACTAAAAGTATATGCTTTCAGGGAAAATCTTTTCATTAAGAGAAAAAAAAACCCGAAACACTCTAAACCTTTTGACTGTATGAATACCACAAAATTCTGGCCAAAACCTAAAATACTTGAGTTGGAATTGCTGCCAGGATATTGGAGGAAAGGTTCTTTGTAACCCCAATGAGTGTGGGCTTTGCCTGCTGTGAGATGATACCTCCCATGAAATAGCCCCCAGAATTCTTTATTTCTTTATTTCTACCCTGCAAGGCTATTGACTGAAACATTTTTATATTTTTAATTTTTACAAACTTGCATGACAAGAGGAGAAAAGCAGTACATTTCTCTTATAACCTTCTCCAGCTCTTTCACTTAATGGCAAAAGAGCAGCTTGAACCAAGTGCCACATCCTCAGGTATTCAGAGCTGCTGTAATTGCATTGGTTTCACAGTCAAATTGTAATCTATGAATATGCTTAAGCTGGAAATTAGAATATCTGTGTATATCTGATTACTATCAGAGATCAACTCGGGCCACCTGGGTTTGGATCACAGGATTAGGTTCAGACCGATCTGTTTTGAATTACTTTTTACTTGCTAATTATGTAATTATAGCATCAAAGTGTCTTTGTCGTGGAATAGGATCGCCCATGATACATATTGTACAAAACCAAGAAGATTCTTATGCCTGCTGGAGCATACAGTCTCAGGGCTGGTGTAAACCGGAAGATAGAGATAGGACAATGCCAAGCGAAAATGTTGGTTAGCATAGACAAGGTGGGGAGAATGGCGGTCTTGCTGGCGATATAGCTGGGTTGAGGACAGCTATAGAGGGCTAATTCTTCTTTATTAAACTGCTATAAAGGATGAATAAACCATTCACTGTCAAGAGTGAGTTTATACAACACTAAAGTCAGCCTGCGGACCATCAGACTCAAGAACTACTCGTTCAACGTGCCTCACGTTCCTCCATGGGGAGACCTCTGAGCTTGAACCTTTCCTTGTGTCATCATCCTATGGTACAACAGAATTCTCTAGCCTGTGGCAGGGTTCGCTGTCATCATGCATGGAACAAACTACCACAGCTGGTAGATAGATTGAAGAAATAGGGATTTCAGCTTTCATACTCAGTCCTTGATTCTGCAGTTTGTTGCAGAGAGAGTAACTCCAGCAGGGAGCTAGTGGTGGGTTAATTTATTTTAGCTATTTGAGCATGTGTCTTCTGTCCAGCCTTCCCCCTTGTTTCCGTCAGCCCACAGAGGTTGTCTTTGGGCCACCCAGAGTCACTTGAGAAATTGGGTTTATTCCCATTTCTGCTTCTTGTATCCTCTCCTTGCTGGGTCTCGCAGAAGTTGTGGACAGACTCACAGGAATAAAGAAATTGAGATTCAGAGACTGAACTGTGAACTTTTCAGCACACACTTATTTTTGCCAAATCACACTCCCCATGCAACATGGGCTGTTGCAGTGACCCTACATGGAGGTCTGTGCTGCTTGTTGTGATGCACTTGGTGGGGTGGCCGTATTTTGGTCACTACAGGGTTGAAACCATCCTTGTAGATCAGCCAGAGACCTGACTGGAGTGTGCACAGCTGTCTTTCTGCATTACTACCTGCCTAGGGCAGGCAAGGCTTGCCTCTGGCAAGGAGAAGCTCTGGGCACATGGAAGCATCAGTAGGGCAAATATAAGATACGTTTCTTTTTTAAATTCTCTTTTGTGCTCTGTCATGTGTGCACAGCTGTCTTTCTGCATTACTACCTGCCTAGGGCAGGCAAGGCTTGCCTCTGGCAAGGAGAAGCTCTGGGCACATGGAAGCATCAGTAGGGCAAATATATGTTTCTTTTTTAAATTCTCTTTCATTCTCTGTCATCTGCTCTTATTTACTGATTTCCATTTCTTTCTCCCTTTGCAGAATACTTGAGGAGCGAGACCACCTTTCTGGAAGAGTTGGTGTTTGGAAGTGGAGATACCATTGAACTTTCCTGTAACACCCAAGGCTCTTCTGTGTCTGTTTTCTGGTTTAAAGATGGTATCGGGATTGCACCTACCAACAGAACTCATATTGGACAAAAACTGTTGAAGATAATCAATGTGTCATATGATGACTCGGGGCTGTACAGTTGCAAGCCAAGGCATTCCAACGAGGTCCTGGGAAACTTTACAGTCAGAGTTACAGGTACGTGCAGAAATACAGCTGTCTCAGGGATTATTTTTTAATTTTTTATTTAATTTTTGCTCTTTCACATGTTCAGCACAGCTGGTGCTTTGTGGTGTTCAGCCGTGCTTGGTAGGTCTCTACCTCCCTGGTAACTCCTGGCAGTGATTAGACTGACAAAACAAACCAATCGAAGAATGCTGGCATGTCCATACCAAATGTTAATGCTTGATGTTAATACTGAGAGAGACTTAGAAACGGTGCTAGTCAGATTAAAGCCCAAATCCCCCTTAACACTCAAATAGATGCAGTGCTACATGTGCCTTTGAAGTCTTTTGTGAGTGAGTGAACTGTGGCTCAGGGAGGTTAAGTGACTTTTTCCACTTTATGTGACAAATCGGTGGCAAAATTGCATGTAAAAACTGGAGGTTCCTGAAGACTGTTTCCCTATTGTAGCTGATAAATCTCTTCCCTCCATCCCGGTTATCAGAAATTACTGGTTTGTTTCAAAGTAGCTTATCTGTAAACTGTGCATATCTCAAATATGTGTGCCATGGAAAGTACTTACTGGGATTCATATATTGCAAACAAGTGCCGTGTTAGCAAAGCATGTGCTGTCATTTGCTTGGCTGTCTTTTCCACGATTAGGACTGTAGGACAGAACAGCTACAAGCTGTCCAAGCCTGGATCACTAAACAGAGAGTGCCAGAAAAATATGTTGTTCCCAGATAGCTAACCACTAACACTAAGATCGTCTCCATGATTTCAGGCTGCTGCATTGATAGATGGATACCCATCACTGTGAGCAGATAGAAAGCCTCCTGATGACACAGATTAAAAGCCTGAATTTTCAGAAGAATTAACCTCTTGTAGATCTAAGGTTTTGAAAACTCCTTAGCCCTTGCGCTGTTGGAGCTTTTTCAAGCATCCCTGAACAGTAGGTCCTTGCCTCCAAAAGTTGAGTTCCCTCAAAAAGTAAGGGGGTATGTCTGAAAACCAAACACAGAGATACTTGTGATTGTAAATCACATCCCCTCCATAAAGGGCTTTCTCATGCCAGAAATAGGATTTTGTGGAAGTGAGAGAATCAAACCATCGTGAGAATAAAAGCCCATTTCAGCAAGCCTTCACCAACATCTGCTTTTCATTGAACATTACTGGAGATTGCTGTGAATGCTTCAAGGTCATATCAATTAAATGGTTAAAGAAGTATTTGGCCCTTGAAAGGCTTTCTTTAACTAGGTACGATTACTGGAACTATCCGAGGAACTACAGGTTGTTAGAAATGTTACTCTCTCTTTTTTTTTAAGTGACATTAAAATGCTTTTGAGTTCAAGGGGCAGCAGGGAGGCAGAAGAGGGCAGCTGGTTACACGCTCAAATGAAACAGCTGCCAGCCCCAAAAGTTCCTAAAGTGAGAAATTGTTTTTAATAGTGGAAGGGCTGATAATCCTCTGCTTTTAAAAAGTTTAAGCCCCTGTGTTTTTCCTCTTCGCTAATAATAGCTAATAACAGCTGAAGAACAAGCGAGTAACCTGAACCTGCTTTCTGACAGCATTATGAGTCTTTGATTCTATTAGCCCACTGTCATTACCACCAAAGTGCTGGTAATGTGGGAGTCTCCGTTTTAGCTGTCAGCAGCACTTGTTTTAAACTTTGAAGCCCTGCTTTATGTGGCAATAGTGGCGTCTCTCGTGTGCTCAGATATTTCTTCATAATTAGTATTGATTGCTCAGCGTGGCACTGCGGAGATGAGATTGTTATCACATATTTGTGGTTTGTGTTCCCATTTCTTAAAGGTAATACCAGCGGTTAATTAGTTCAGGTATCTGGTCAGGTGTTTATGTGGATATCTAATGTTTGGGGCTGGAGTTGTTCTCGGTGTTAAACTGGTTTAAATCTGTACTAACAAACTGGAATTGTTCTGATCTGTATTCTTAAGTGAGTAAAACTAGGCTAGGTATATTCAGAATGGCTGATATACACATAAGTCCCATTTTGAGAGATGCTTCCAGATTCTAGGAGCATATCAAGATTTTCCTATGTGAGGCCAGGAGTTTTGAGTCTGCAACAAACTGGCTTTTCTGCAGCGCACAGTGAGATGCTTGATGCTGAAGGTAGAGCAAGGAGATGCTGGAGCTGGCATTTCAGGGTTGAAAACCAGGTTGATTCATAGCAGGGTTTGATGTCTTTAAAATGCCTCCCTTGACAGACATGGGCTTGAGTGTTTTGCTGATTTACAAAAAGAAATGTACTGAGCACTTGAAGAGAATCACAAATAGAGGCTGCATGCCCAAACTGATCTCCAGCCCTGTTGGCAGAAGCTCCGTTTCTGCAACCATTTCACACACAGAGCTGCCTTTGGATGTAGCGGCTGAGCAGCACCGCTGTGATGAGCACGGACTGCAGGCTGGTACCAGCGAAAAGAGCTTTCAAAATACCTGAGACTAAGCTCTTCAAAACAAGTGACTAAAAAAATTAAGCCCCTTTCCGTTCATAATTAAAGCCCTTTTGAGAACAGCATCTAGCAGTTCTTGCTGATGCCAATACTCGTCAACTTCTGAAAAGGATTACTATTTTAGTAAATGACTAACAAATAGCTTACAAATTTTTAGTCACCTTTTGAAAAAGGTGATGTTTTAGTAACCTGAATAGGACACAGTGGCTCTGAACATGGGATATTTGGTCTTAAAACCTAAGCTGCATCTCTCATCTGAAACACAAGCAAGGTCAAGACTCTTCCCTCAATCTTGTGGAAATGTTTTTGAATTGATTTGAAAATTGATTCTGCTCCTCTGCTCATAATTAGTTCATTGGAAACCATAAGTAAACTATAATCACATGTTAATATATGGGTAACTAAATCTGGGAGTGCAGAGCTGAGAATGTGCTGGTTTCTCTGTCGATGCTGGTGGGGATTTGGCTCAGTTTCTGCCTTTGCCAGGACTTGAGTAAACCTGCTGGTTCAGCCAAAACACCTAAACATCCACTTCACTTTCAGCAAGCCCCGTGGCATTTCCTTAGTTCTGCTGCCAGCAGGACCTCAGCTGTGGATTTGCAGTTAGATACGAGCTTGAAGTCTTACTTGAGCCAAGAAAAGGTGCAAAGCATGATGCACCACTGCACTCTAAAGCAGGGAGATGATTCCTGTGTTACTTGCTCCTGTAGATGATGAATACATCTGGAAAGTCCTTCCAGATTCTGCAGAGAAGTAGTATTTGTTGTTACCTTTCCCTCCTTTCCCTTACATTTTTTTTCTCCCCCCGCCCCTTCTTTTTTTTCTCACCCCTCCTTTTCTTTTTTTTTTTATTTTTACCTCCACTGAGCTGGTCAGAGAACAGCAGAAAACTCGAGTACAGCTTGAAATGAAGGAGGTTCTGCCTGGCTTGGTCTAAAGTAGTGCTTTACATTTCTGGCCACATGCTGAACACTCGTAAAGTTACCTATATTCTAGTGTTTAAGGCAAAGTTCTTTTACCGCTGTTTCAGAATATAAAGGCTGCTGGGTTGTTAGCATTTTGTCTTTATTTAAAAAAGAAATTCCTGGAGATTATATGAAGTCAGTGATGCTAAATCTTTCCAGACACTGAATTGTACTAAATCGTGTAAATTAAATCAAACACTAAGCTGCTATTTTATAATGGAATTTACATTTACAGTAGTCATTTGGTGGGGGAAGAGGGACTGAGCCTTCAGTCGTGGACAGCTTGGAGAAGGTGAGATGTTAGACCACGTTAAGAGAAACAGTTCAGGATGTTTTGGAGAGATACAGATGGAAAATTCCCACCTATTAACCTGTATTGAGTTACATCCTCGAGGTGCCTCTGTAGGAGGAATATAACGAAGGGAACTGGTTCATGGAGTAGTCATCAAAATGTCGATCGAGAGAGAGGTTTGATTGCAAGGGGAAGTTCTAAAAGCTTTGGTCTGAGTGGTCGAGCAAGGAGTTAACAAGGGGAGATGTGGCAGGGGTGTATTGAGTTAAAAGAAAAGTGCAGGGAAAGTGAATTAGAAATGCTGACCTGTCATTTTGAGACTTGGTGAAATAAAACGTGTTCAGAGTGAATGCTAGAGGGAAAAAAAAGCGGGGGAGAGCTTGTTCTGCAAAAAGAAACTTCCCCTTTTGGAGTTGCTTTTGTATTTACGAGGAGAAGAGCACTTCACATGGGGAGAATGATTTGGCATTGGACCATGGTTTCTGGTGGCAGAGCACTGGCAAACTCATGACACCTCTCTCCCAGTTCAGAAAGCTCCTGGCCAGTTGTCCCTGGCCCAGCAGCATGGGAGGGATGGGCTGGTGGAGCTGCAGGGAAGGGTGACCCATCACTTGGGTGTCCTTCCTCACTGGAGCCCACCGTGGCACCAACAGCCTCGTCCAACATGGTATCCCCGCGTGCTGTCCTCTTTCCACTTCACTTCTTTCTCCTTCTCATCCTAGATTCCCCTTCGTCGGGTGATGATGAAGATGACGATGATGAGTCAGAAGATACAGGTAATTTATTTTTCTGGGAGACAGAGGCCTTTTCTTTCAAGAGATGTGGCTCCCAAGCAGAGCACCTCATCCAGATGTTCGCCTGGTCAGACAGGAGCTCTTTCTCCGTGTTGAAATGGGTGACCTTAGGATGATACCATGATGAAGTTTATTTAAAAATTTAGAAATAGCTGCCAGAGTGATATTGCTGCTGTAATATCCTACAGCAGCAGCAGCGTAATTTTTTTTTTTTTTGAGACTTGGTTCTGCAAATCTGGCTTGATGAGCTAGAGTTACAAATTCTCCTTGCAGGTAAATCCAGACAAACTCACTTACCATGTTGATTTTTTTTGCTACACTGACATTACAGCAGTTTTACACCATTGCAAACCTTGGCCTGCTTTGTTTTTAGCTGGTTTGATTCTGGTCCTCACCAGCATCTTGGCTGGAGTCAGAGCATAAAATTTACGCTAGCCAAGGGCCAAGTTTACTGATGCTGTAAGCGGGAGCAACCCCTTTGACTTTACTGGCTTTTTCTTTTGCTCACGTGGGGAAGGGAGCCCCAGGATGGAGCCTCTCGGTGCTTTTATTCTGAATCTCTTTCAATCCCAGCGTTTGTTTCTTTAAGTGCAATAGCATTAATCAGGATCATTACATGCTTCAGAGGCGTTAGTGTTGTGTTTTATTATGCTTTTTATATTTCTGCAAAGCGAGCTGCCTGCATGTATGTGTTTTTAATAAATAAATATCTTGCATTTGAACCCCCAATCAGCTATGTACATTGGCAGAAGTTCAACATGACTGGAAAATTTCTCCTGCCCATAGCGTTGGACATGCAGGACTCTTGAAAACAGGTCTCCCATGTAATAAATTCATACGGCTGTGTCGTGCAGTATGTGGGCAGTAGTGGTGAGTTATGGTGCCAGGCAACCCATTGGCAGCAATTAGTGGTTTTCTGATAGCTTCTAATTAAGGGCCAGATCCTGCGAAGTGACAAGCACCTTTGCAGAGGTGCTCAGGCCTCCTGATGCCTGCTGGAGCCTGGTAGAGGCATAGGGAGGGTCAGGTTTGGTCAGGATTTGTTCCTACTGCAGAGCAGCTTCTGATGAGCACAATTAATCGTTCTGTACTTTTTTTTTATGTGGTTTGTAGTAAACTCCATGTCTTAGCAACAGATATCACAAAACATCAGCTGGTTTATGGTACAGAAAGACACGTTTTTCTTCACTGAAAAGGAAAACACACATTTTGCCGCATGTATTTATAGCCTGTATTCTGGGTCTTCTTGACTTCAAGGCTGCCTCTTTTTTTAGACCTGAACGTAACGACTGGCTTTGCTGAAAGGTCTCGTTATAAAAAGTTGGATTCTCTTCTGCTTTAAAAACAGTTGATTAGTTTAACGTGCCAGCTCAGTGAAACCTCATGGTGTGTCGTGACGTGGATGTGCTTTATGTTTCTTGCTTTGTTGTCAGACCCTCCACTTAACCTTCACAGATCTTCTTTTGAGTATGGGGAGCCGCTTTGTTAACCCTGACACGACCACCACTGGGACATCCCACCGGGGACAGAGGCTGCAGGACCATCCCAGGCAGGTGGACACATGGGTGTAGCCAGTGCCATGTCCTATGGACAGCCCAAAGACCTGTGTCCTCCATCTCTTGTGGCAAAAAGATACCCTACTAATGAGGTGCATAAGCCCCTGCTTGGCCATCAGTCGTAGCCATGGTCTGTAGTTAGAGAAGAGAAGGCAATAAACACACTTTCATGCCAAAGAAAAATATAACCAATAGTTATTCATATTTCAGGGGAGGTAATCTATCCAGGACTGGCTTATTGCCTGTTGCCATATTGCACGTCACTGAATAAAAACCTTGTCTCCTAGCCCCTTGTGATGATAAGTTAATTTTCTGGCTTAATTTTGTTGTTCAAGAGAGTTTCTTATCCTCGTACTTATAGAGAAGAGCTTGGAGAGCTGATTCCAGTAGTGTCATGAGTTTGAAGCCAATCTTGTTAATTTTGAGATTTTTCACCCAAAGTTGTTGAACAGTGGGAGCTGGAAGTACCAAAGCAAGAGAACAAAAGTAAATCTGCCCTAAAAGAAATTAATATTTGGTGCAAAAACTCTTGGAGAGCACAGAGACGGGCCTTCCATGTGGAGTGCCCTGCTCTGCTCACCCTCCTTTCAGCATCCTCTCCAAAGGGCAGTACAGGAGCAGGGCATCCCTTAGGGATGGGCAGCAGAAAAGAAGAAAGAGGAACTTCAGCATCCTCAAATCATCGGCCTATTTGTTGCAACCTTGTCACAAACCACGATCCGCCTTGCAAAAAGAGGCTTTCCAATACCTCTGTTCTCTACAGCTGTTTTTCCTGGCCCTGAAACAAAAACAAAACTCCCTTTTCACACACTGCTCTTCTGCCCCAGTGCTCCCTACCCCTCTGTATCTGTTTGTTTGGAGCCCCCGCTGCGTAGCCCCAGCACCTTCAAAGAGCCCCTATAATCTCCAATTAAATCTGGCTGTGTACTCAGAGGCGTCAGCTGGGGAAATTGCACAATTAGGGTTGATTCTGTCTACCACAGAAGTTTGTGGCAGCTCCTAATTGCTAAATGAGCGCTCGGCTGTATTAATTATTCCAAGTATAGCTCTCGGTTTTTTTTAATTGGTCATTCCAGTCGGATGGGTGGCCAGTGTCTTTGACGAACAAAACAGACTGTCGGGCTTAGTGTTTGATGATGGGAAAGGGCCGGTGATAATGTTTGCGAGTCCCTGTTTTTTTTTTTCACACCTGCACATGCAAAATCATTGCTCGTAATTAATTTAGAGAGAGCGGGTCTAGAAATTTTTCCTGTCTTTCATCCTTCGTCCTTTCTCGCTCCTGAAACTCTCTGGAGCTTTGCAAGCTTTGCTTGAAAAGAAGAGTTAGCAGCATTTTCACCCCCTTAAAAAGTGGTAATGAAAGGACTCTGGGGGCACAGCAAACCAAAAGCAGTGATGTTTTGTTCACTGCTCCTGCAAATGACAGCAAAGGCACCGTTTTCAATGTGTAGGCACTTTCTTCCAGTTCCAGTTTGACTTGAGAGTGATGCCCTGGTTGTTTGAATCTTGGCACATTAATCCAGGGGTGCCCAGCCCTGGCAAGCCCCAAGTCACATGCAGGAGCACCCAAATGGAGAGAAGGCACTCAGGGAAGAAGCTGTATCTAATTCCAGCAGGGAGGAGCGGATCCTGCCTTTGCTCCATATGGAGAATATCCCCAGCTGGAAACTTTCCTGGGCCCCATCTTGCTCCTGTCTGATGTCCGATGGCAAAATCCCCCTTGGCTTCAGTGATAAAATTTGCAGCCAGTGGGTTGATGGGTCTCCTGTGAGATTCAAACTCATTTTTTTGAGTGAGGAAACGTGGTGAAACATCATCCTGCGGCACACGCAGCTGGTGTGGAAAGGGGAAGAACCCCCAAAAGCTCAATGCAAGGAGGAGCCTGGTCCTGACAGGGCAGCCGTGCAATCTAGTTACACCCCTGTGCCTGGGTGAGTGTCACCGATGCCATAAAATGGGATTTATTGTAGGCAGATATGTTAATCAAACAACAAACAGCAGGTTATTCGGCTGCCCTTCTTAGCGGCGAAGGGACTTTTCCATCCGTGCCTGGCCTTTCCCTGAACTCTCCCCCATACCCCATTAACCTCCTGTAAAGTCCCCAGGAGATCAGGGTCCTTTGCCAAGAGGAAGCGTTTGGCCAGAAAATAGCCCGTGCTTCGGAAACCAAGGACCAGACGTCTCCCAGCATGGTTTCTGCAGCTCCTTCTCTTCAGCCTTCCCAACAGCACCCCAACTGTCCTCCAAATTCACGCCCATGCTGCTGCCCAGCCTTTCCTTGGTTTCTGCCCTTCCCAATGCATGCCGTAGCAACTTCTTCCTTTACCATCAAGATCTGCTCTTCCTTTAGGGGTTGCGTCCACTCTTCTAACATTTTTTGGAATATTCCCTTTTTTTTGTGCAGTTCTACCATTTTTCTAAGCTCAGATGTTGGAAGGTAGATGGTGACATGATGTCTCTGCTTTAGCCCACATTATCGTGTAGCATTTGAGGGCTCTCCTGCATGTGCCCTGTGTTTACAGCAAAGTTTGTAGCCAGGATTTTGCAGGAGCAGAGAAATTGCAGAGATTCCTACTTTGGCTTTTGTTTGTGCCAGCCGTACTCCTGCTCTGATGCCATCCTGGCAAGAAAAGGGCCTTAAGCAGTTTCATTGTTTAAAAAATGAGTCGTACGTGGCATGGATGAGCACCAGATCCCTCTGATATGTGGAGCTGACTCTCATAGGCATCGTGGCACGTTGTGCAAAGCAGTCTGAGGGCAGATGCAAGCCCTCATACTGGATTTCCCTCCCTGGAACAGCATTACTGAGGCAGCTACATCCAGCTGTTTGGCTGCAGAGGTGTGAAAGGAGATGAGACATGAGAGTGATGTACCCAGTGGGGCCATCTCCAGCAAATGGAGGGTCTCCTGGATGTAACTCCTGACATCCAGTTCCTCGCGGCCAGGTGGACTTCGCAAGGAGCCATGGGGAGAGGGGACCATGTGTAGGGTGTTAGCAGGTGCTAAAAATCAGTGGATGCATGGGTTGCCTTGGCTGAAATATATGAGTTTGCCTGCAAAATCATTGGAGCTGAAACACAGCAGGGAGCCTGTGTGGGGGACACTGGGGACTTAGACCAAAATGGGGTCATCACTGACTTACCTGGAATTGCAACGGGATGGGTCTTGTGGAGCCAAACGTGTCAGGGATAAGTACATTGGGGAGCACTGCAGGAAGGGAGCAGCTCGGGTACATCTTGGAGGGATGCAACAAGAGGGGAAATTTTGTACACCCTTGTCATTAAGGGGAAGGGGATTGCAGACGTTTCAGAGAAGCACTGAGGTGGGGCTGTGATGCTGGGTGGTGTTTCTGAGCATCATCACCGCTGCGGGAGAGGCCAGCAGCGATGCTTTCCCAACAGCTTTGGTGGCCGTCATGTTCTCTAAGGCAGTTGCTGAAGGACCTGCACATTCAGTTTGTCTTGGCCAGAAGCACACAGGTCTCTCTGAGCGGTGGGTTTGGGTACTCTGTGTCTGTGGGTGCTTCCTTCCCATCTGGAAGAGATGCCAGTTACACTCCTTGGCCGCCTCTTTGCTGTTTTGCAGCCCAAATGCTGTCTGCCCTCATCTCCCTTTGGTCTCGGTGTGGAGCATGGAGCTGGGGGGCTGGATGTGGCCCCCAGCGTGGCCAGGGAAGCACCCCATGTGCAGCTCCACAGTGTTTCCTTAAGCAGAAATGAAAGCTTGAGAGGCTTTTTAAAAAAACTTTCTCTTTCTTTCTTCCCAGTATAATGAGTTTGCTGCTGCTGCTGCCTTAATTTGGAGTTAATATGTAATGTTTGTAACACAGCCAAGAAACGTCGCTGTACTTGAGGCAGATTATAAAAAGTATCTCATGCTAACACTGGTGTTTTAAAACTTATCCCTGTTCAAAGGTAACATGAATCTTTAAAACTAAAATCACTTGCACTTAAAGAACATAAACATGATAAACCAGTTTGGCACTGGCTTTTTTTTTTTTTTCTTTCCTGCCCTTAAGGAGGCTACACTACATTTGCACTCACTGAGAAGCAAAATTTTCCAGTGCAGTCAGCTAACACTTTTTCTCTGCTCCCTTGCTGGCCCATCAACATTTTTTTAGAGTTCCAATATCTTTCTGCTGTTCATGCTTCTTGGCCACTATTGTCCCCCGAAGATACGTCAGTATCTTTTTACATGCTGAGGCCAGATTCTCACCCTGATCTGGGATAACTCTACCTGTTGATTTAAAAGCCGCTACTCTAGATTTATACTGGCGTTACTGAGACAAGAACCTGGTCATGAACCTTTCATCACAAACCTAAAATGCAAACACCCTGTCTACATCTATGAAAGTCGTTTAGCTGGAAAGTATTTCTGTGTCATTTATCTTAACTGCAGCAGGTAGCAATTTAACTGTCACTCTCCACATGCCAAAGCCTCCTCAAATGCATCTGCTCACCAGCTGATATCCTCCACAGCAGAAACTTGGTCTTTACTTTCTCAGGTGTCCCCTTCTGGACCCGGCCAGATAAGATGGAGAAGAAGCTGCTGGCAGTTCCCGCCGCCAACACCGTTCGCTTCCGATGTCCGGCGGGTGGAAACCCAACTCCTTCCATCTACTGGCTGAAAAACGGCAAGGAGTTCAAAGGAGAGCATAGGATTGGGGGCATCAAGGTAAGGCCTTGTTTTGGATCTCTGTTTTTATCAGGAGTTTTCTACCAACTGGAGAAAATTGTATTTCTCAGTCATTAACATTGGTACCTGTAAGGGCACAGCCCTGACTGTGTGGAAATGGGGGTGTTTCTTGCAGCCTTAGCAACTGCTTGACACCAAAGTGTTAAAAAGGACTGGTGTCCCTTCGGAATGAAGGCTAATTCCCTCTGGGTTTGTCTACAGCAGTCATTCAGGGAGTAGGTAAAAATGAGGCTGAGTTTATGGTTGCATTGTGGACAGTGATGAGAAAGCAGGAGCAGAAACTTCTGTCCTGTTTTCTGGAGATCAGCCTAGTGCATTGAGACGTGTTAGACTGAGCTGTAGCTATTCCCAGCTTTCAAGGAAAAGCGACTGGCATCCTTTGAAGGTGTAGGAAGGAGCTCACCAAAGAGCTGGACCGTCGCGCTGGTGTTCATTAACATTCTTGTGGTATAAATCACTGACCCTTGGTCAAGTGTTGGATTCCCTTGTAGCCAGAGTAATAGCATCTGCTCTTTGGCTGCTTTCTTCTCCCTCCTTCCTTTCTACCGTGAGGTGTTCTGGACAATGCTCTGGCTCATGTTTATAGATAGAGCTAAGGGACACAAAAACCCACTGCACTCAAATTAGCCAGAAGTTTCTCTGCTACTGTATATGATGAATTATGGCAGGATTTTAACAGGAAAATAATCTCTTCTCCGATTTTGTTGTTAATACTTTGTCCCCTTGGGATCACAGTCAGACTCCTTTCTGGTTTTATTTGGGGAGAATAAAACTGGCAGCAGCTGATTATAACAAAATCACTGTAGCAGAAAGGACTCCTGAGCAGCGATTTTTGCCTGCACTCAGCCAACCCTGGCATATCCCTGGGCTACTGCTAAGGAGAGAAGGTGATTTTTAGGAAGGCACCTTCATCAGTACTCTGAATGGCTGTGTGCTGATGCCTACCACATCTGTAGCATTTTGAAAGGGGGCTAGGCAAGCAAAGCGTGCCAGGCTTCAGAAACCAGAAAAGGATTCAAAAATGTCTTCCCTCCCCGTGGTTTTGGGCTGTTTCTTTCCTGTTAGCTCAAATCTGTTCCTGAAAGAGCCTTTTGTGGTGCTTCAGTGAAGCCTTTGAAGCTCCCTCGTCAGTCCTGTCCCTGCTCCAGCCTGGACAGGGCAGAGGACATGCTCGGGTTTGGATCTTGTGGAAAGTTAAGGAGGGAAGAGAAGTGAGGAAGCAACTCTTGTGGGTAAACAGCCTTTCGACAAATGACATTCACAAAGCATAAGCATCTTTTACTAATTGCGGGCTGCAAGGATCATCATGAAGTGTTTTCAGGCTTGCGTGCGCCGTTGGAACGGCTTTTTACAAAACTATGTGACATCAGCTGCACTAAATTATGCTTGCAGAATAAAATCTAAAGCTGAAAGCAATTCCCCTACCCACTTCCCAGTGGTTTTAATCTATCCTTGAGTTTAAATTGACACGTTTCATCCTTTGCAACACAGTAGTGAGTCTTTGGCATCGCTGTGCTTTGTTTCTCTAGGGGCACCTTCCAGCAACAAGCTGATGCTTAAAAGAGCTATTGAAGGCAATGTCAGGCCAATTACAGAAAGATTGGTTTAAGCTGTCTATCTGTCTAGGTGTAGTTCTTTGTCCCTTTCTCGATACAAAGACATCTTTCTCTCTCTGTAATTTTCCTTCCCTTATTTGCTTGCTTTTGCTTTTGAGCTGCAGTTAGATGTAAGTAGTCTAATGTAAATCTCATCCAGTATAAATATACTGATACATATCAGCTGAGATTTGGACCAGAAAAAGAGATTGAAAACCTACTCGGTATCTCATGTATTTAAGATTTAAATTCCCTGTTACAACTTAACTTCATAACAGGATTAGGCAGCTTGAAAAGAATGGGCAAGATCCAGATCTGGCAGAGTTTGGTTGGTTTACTTCAGCTCAAGATCTGGTCTTAACCCAGAAATCCTTGAGCTGGGAATGTTCTCATTTGTTTTCAGTCTGTGGAAGAGTTTAAATGTTGGTTGTGAAAGATCTGTGGCTAGCAGATGAAAGCTGACCACTCTTCCACTTCTGCCTCTTGCGAATGACATTTAGATCCCGTGTGATTGCCCGGTGTAAAGCCTGCAAGAGAGAAGGGTGCGTGTTGAAAACATGAAGTACAGGCTAACCTAGTTTTGTTACAGTTCAAACTGATTAAGAAAAGAAATTCATATGACTTATCATATGAAATTTCCCAAAGAGCATTAATGGTTAAATCCTTGTTGGAATCTCTAATATCGTAAGCCTGTGTGTGTTAAATGACCCTAGAAGGGAAGATTGAGGGGGAGGGGAGATAGAGGATTATCCCTTCCCCAGACCATTGCACTGACTTGCATACCAGTCTGGCAAACACGGACTGAGGTTCCAAGCGTGTCTGCAAATGTTTGTTTCACAAGGAGCCAAGAATGACAACACCAAATAAACCAGAGGGATTTCCAGTATCTCACCCACTTGATTAATGTCTGCACTAAGTCACTTCATGTTTCTAGTGTTTTGTCGAGTGTGGTGACTATCCTAACTTGGGAACATCCCTTTTTATTATCCTTTAAATCTAGATGCCTGTCTCAACCTAAACAAAAAAAATCTTGTTGCTTCTGGAAGCGTTTCCAAACAGGTTCTGCCTCGTGAGTCTGTAGCCCCCAGGTTCTCCTCTCTGTTCACAGTCCGAAGTCCCCATCACAAACCTGACAAAGAAGTTCTTTGAAAGTGTAATAAAAGTGTGTTTGAAAGTGCATCCTAGGTAAAACACCTAATTTGGACCTGATTTTGTAATACAGGTCAGACTAGGGAGTCTGCCATGTATCTGGAGTCCCATTTCCTTGGAGTAGCTCCTGGGGGTTCCAGATGCAAATTCGTTGCAGTGCTGAAAAGTGGATTAAAAGAAGTCTTTAGACACAACTGTGAGACAGGCCGGTATGGAAATGAGCCACTGAGCAGCCACAAATTTGCATTGAAACTCCCTTGACAGTCTGGTATGTTCAGCTGTGAAGTCAGGGTCCAGGCTCTCTGTTCTCGGAGCTCCTCTTACCCTGTAGCTGCTGCGCTGTTGCAGAGGTGCACCAAGTGGGATGTTGCTTTACAAAAGGTGTAACGTTGGTTCTGCATTGAGCTCCATCTGTGCTGTCTTGACTGGGTAGAGGATGCAGTCAGAGCTGATCAGACATCCACAACAGCCGAGATTTCTGTACAGACTGTTTAGCCACAGCCTCCTATTACCTATAACCTGAAATGAAAAGAAATACTATATTCAGTGGTCTCTGAAAAGTGGGATGCTCGGCAGTGCTGTTCTCAGGGATACAGAGATCTACAAAACTTTGCTAAAATGACTTTTGCTTGCTTACCTTGCAACTAAGCTATCTAGTCCCGTGACTTTAAACCTTCTCTTTGCAAAATTCTGGCTTTAATTGCAACTTGACCCTTTAAAGGAGAGCATGTGGATGGATGCAATTTATGTGTAGCAAAAGAGGTTAAATGACTTCATATTTGAGTTCACCTGCTGCAGCAAGAAACCTCCAGGAGCAATTACGCCCTTGTTTTTTCCATCAGCCCTTGACATTCTGTAGCGTAGCGTTATTGTAATCTCCTGCTTCTGTGTCCTTGGAGTCACCTTCAAAATGTTTAATAAAGTTAAATGTTCTGCTCTGGGCGGCAGAAGGCATCAAATTAATATCCAGACATTTGGAGAGCTTTCATACGCTATGCATCCTGAAGTCATCTTTGTTACTGTTGGTTGCTTTCTGTATTAACTCAAGATTTGCTTTCGGTATCCATTATTTCCTTTATACTCATTAGAAACAAATGTAGGTCAGGGTGGAGGCATGGGTTGTGCTTTCCCTTCTGCTACTGAGCAACCAACAGCTCTGGACATAAGCCATATCCAACTAGTGTAAAACTCGGTGCCAAAAGAAAAGGGCTGACCACGCATCCTAGGGACCAGACTTGAGACTGGGCATGTTTTCTCCTGTTTTTTACAGGGAATTTAGGGGACTAACTCAGTTGTAGACACCCAGTTCTGTTCAGACAGATGCCATGACCTATTGCTTCCATAGCATACATCTTTAAAATATGTTATAGATGTGGTAAGAAGTATGATTTTTATTGTTTATAGTCATCTTATGGGTTGTATGTAGCAGTTGGTAAAGATCTGCAGATGGGAGTACGATATTTTGAGCTGACAGAGTCTCTGGAGCAGAGTGGTCTGGCAGAGGGGACCAGCGGGTCAGAGTTATCTTAGCTGATGCCTTCTGAAGTCGTTACTCTAATGAGAAGTGCCACATTCAGCTGTCAGCTGGTTCCATGATTGTTATCGTTGTGGAAGCATCTACCAGTCCCCATTGCAATCTCAGCATGTTACATTGAGTTGCACTGTTCCTGCATTGATCTGAATTCCTTTTCACATTAAGCCTTTAATGACCCTTGAAATGGGTCCTTGTAATGTTCAGGCCTACTCTGGGTCCATTCATGCTGGCCAAGTGTGTAGAAGCTCACTGACTGTTCACTGATTTGAATGATCTGGTGATGATGATACTTGACTATGAGCTTGATGGTTTGATTTCTTCTTCTAGTTGCGACACCAGCAGTGGAGTTTGGTGATGGAGAGTGTTGTGCCATCAGATCGAGGAAATTATACCTGTGTTGTGGAGAACAAATATGGCAACATTAGGCACACGTATCAGCTTGATGTATTAGGTGAGATTTCACTGTTTTCCCTCAACAGCTGATCTGTGGTGATGTTGAACAGGCGCATGATGGGATACGGGAAGCAGGAGCTTGGTTTCTTCCCAAAGTGCTGGATCATGTGTCTTCTAAGACCAACAACAAGCTTCCTTTTGGCCAACAATTCAGCCTGAGATCTGTGATCAATAAATTACTTAACTGTTCTACACAAGGGCCAGAGAAGGAATGGCAGGGCTGAGATGCCTCCTCCGTTCATAGGTAGTTCTTCCCTGTTGGGCTTTAGAAGCACTGGGTAGAGCGGTGGCCTCGGGGGACAATCTCAGTCTGCACCCTTTCTGCTGAAAGGCCAGTAGATGAAGAGTTCAGAGGAGAATCCTTGCTGGAAGAAGGACAAGTAAATTAGGATTTCCCTCTCTTTTCTGTTTTTCAGAAAGGTCACCCCACCGACCAATCCTGCAAGCAGGACTCCCTGCCAACCAGACCGTGGTGGTAGGGAGCAATGTGGAGTTTCACTGCAAGGTCTACAGCGATGCCCAGCCTCACATCCAGTGGCTGAAACATGTGGAAGTCAATGGCAGCAAATATGGGCCCGACGGGACGCCCTATGTCACGGTGCTGAAGGTTGGTACACGCTCCTTCTTCTCACCCTCAGGGCAGTCCTTCCTCTGCCTTGGTCTCAGTGTTACAGAGGCAGCAGCTATATTGTGGGGATGCTCCTCAAAGAAACCCACTGCCATACTGGTGGCAAGAGAGATCAGCACTGAGTAAAGGTGCTAGCCATCAATGGAAGCCATAAACTTTATTTACGTGTTTATAAATAAGCCCTAGACTAGCAGTGCAATGTGAACCAGAAACTCCCAGCAGAATATGTTCAACGCCACAGTTCCTAGAAGGGTAACCTTTATTTAAATCAGATTTTTTGGAGCTCGAGGTCTCATTTTCTGTAACTGTTTTGTGTCTATAAGAAAAAAGTCATGAGAATAAGCCAAGGACAACTGTTGGGATTGTTCTTTCCTTTAAGCCCACACAGCGGAATACTCTGCTTTTTGGAGGGGGTACAGCAAAAATGTCCTAAAGTCGATGTTCCAGACTCTTCTGTTTGCCAGAGATAACACAACTACTGTAGTGGCACAGATAAGCAAAGTAGTTGTAAGAGCTGAGGCAACTGTGAGAAATGCAGCACGATAAAAGAGAAGCTGTCAGATTGCATTTGACCTAAAATTGTAACAATAACCTTTTTTTACTGCTTCAATAGAGGTATTTTTGGGGCTTACTAAAATAAAAGGCTCCCAACTAAAACACATTCTTTCCTTTTCCAAGTAAACATACTGCAGCGTGCACGTACCAAATAATGCTGAACTACCAGCACCTGAGAGCCAAGATAGTCTTGTTCCAGCCACTAACATTTGTGAACATTGCTATTATCCATGCTCAGGAAAGCCTGTTTTTTTTATTGAGAAAAAGCTTACTTAGTAAGACTTGACTTTGCTAAAATGCTTTCTTGAAAGGGAACTTCCAGATTACAGCCAGAACAAAGCCAGACGGTCTGGTTTCCCCTCAACCTATGTAAATATAAGAAGTAGAGAATAGAGAGTGAAAAGCACATTGGACTTTTAAAATCCCTTTTTTTTTTCTTTTAATAATTAAAGGCATGCTGTGTTGGTGTTCATTAAAATATATAGGGCCAAATGTTTTTTTCCTGGCTCTGCAGTTGTAGCTGAAAGCAGATTTTGTCCCTGCAGTTTCAAGCTGAGATTGTCCTGTGCATGGACATTACCCATGCACATCCTGCTGCACACACCCTTCTTCTCTTTGTGTGAAGTTTTAAAAAAACCCAACTTATCAGACAGCATCTACAAAACTGTAACTCAGCCAGATAACATGATAATAAAAGCCAGAGACCCTGGAAATAATTACACAGATTGAAATAACAGATTGGTTGGAAGAAATGGTTGGAGACAGTTCTTCAGGACTGGCAACACGTGCTTCTCGCGAGTTGATAAAACTTTTTTATTTTCTCGCTGTCTCTCCAAATGTGTTTGAATTATGCATATTTGAATTTCCCCCTGGTTTCACAGCCCAGTACCAAGCTCTGAATAGCTGGCTGTGTCACATGCCATCTAGTATAGTCTCCGAGCTCTGTGTGTGGTCCCTGTGGGATAAAGTGCTACCTTTTGGAAGTTTGCAGAGCCGCTGCGAACAGTGCCTTGTGTCACAAGCACAAGCTCCCATTTTGCTGTGGCAAAGAACATATAAATAGTCCGTATAAATAGTGTTTTAAAATTAAGTTGGAGCGGCACCGGGGTGGCTAGGTAATTAGAATTGCCAAATACCTTCTCTTCTGTGGACGGCAAAGGCTCCGCATTCCTCGAAGGGGAGCACAGGCAGGCGTTTGAAAGCACAAGTTTTGTTTGGTTTTATTTTTTTGCTGAATAGGACCAGCACACGTCTATTTACTACTTCTGGTTAATCAGGAATGCTTTGAATTGTATTAATGCCGGCATCAGCACTGGGGCTCGGAGCATTTCCATTTTGGGATGCATCTTTTGTGCGCCAGTACTGGGCCTCCGTGGAGCTGTGTCAGGCCCAGCTTTGCAGGGATTTTTTTTTTTTTTTTAAAATGTGTGTGTGCTTGTTTTTTAAAAAGAAAGATCTGATAAAATGATCTCACTGTCATCTTGGGGCCAGTCTGTTGGCTTTATAGACTCATTCCCTTCATGCCACGCAGTGCTGTTGCTTTGACCCAGCATCCTGACGGTGCTGCTGGAGCAGGGTGCTGTTAACAGCTCTTCCCTGCCCACAGCTGCTTTAGAAAAGGCTCTCTCCTGCCCAATGCTGTGGTGCCTGCGGGGAGATAAGGCTTTTTTATCAGCCTGCCCTTCCCTCCTGCTTTCAGGAGATTTTGTGGAGTGCAGGAGCTGCTATGGGGCAGTTTGTATATGGGAGTATCCCGGTCTCCATCAGAACGAGGGGGACAGAGAGGTGCCCAGCACGTGAAATTCCCCCTTCACGTCTAAATGAGGGGAGTAAAACCCACTCCAGTCCAGATGGATATACTGAATGTTGTACTTTCAACCCATTTTTTAAACAGCCTGACAAAACCAAGCCATCACCTGCATGAGTTCCAGAAAGCCTGGGCTAATTTGTGATCAAAAGAAACCCCCTTTTCTTTGCAGAAGAGCACTAAATGCATTCCAGTTACGGAGCGGGGGCTGGCAACACTGTGCCCAAGCTTTGTCAAAGACTAAATTGTACGTTCTGCATTGAAACATGCCTGACTTAATTATAAACAAGGCAGCAACAGCAGGCAGGCACGTTTCCCCAGTAGTCAGGACAGACCAACTTGCCAGCACATAAGCCTTAGAGATGAGGTCAGGTCAAAATCGGTGGTGGTGTCAGCAGATGTGGGCACTGGGGCTCCTCTGATGCTGCCTCTGGGTTCAGTTGCTAATAACCTATCAGATCTGGCAGCCCTGGTGATTTTAATGGGCTGCAAGTCATATTGGCAGGCTCAGGCCTTGAAATCGAAGGCACCGAGCCTGGGCTGGAGAGCCTAAGACCAAAAATGAGAAGACTAGTTGTTTTATTTTCATTTCCAGAACTGAAGCTGTTATTTTTTCTAGACTTTCCCTAGGGTACTTCTGAGGCCACCCAAAACAGTTGTGCATTTTCAACCAAAATAAAAACAACTGTTTAGGGAGAAAAACTGATGTGCTGTTGTGGCAGCATGGAAGAAGAGAAATGAAACCCTTGCTTAAGAGTCTGAAGTTTGTTTGATTTATATGCACCACTTTATTTAGTAAAGAAGAGGCTCCTATAAGCAGTGGAAAAAATTACAGCTAATTTCTGAAAGGCAAAGTCAGCAGCGAGTTTCAGACCGCCACTGCTTACATTTTGTTTCCAAATTCTATTTTGGAATCTGATAATTGAAACAGTATTTGCTGAGCCGGGTTGCAAACACAAATCTCTGCTTAAGCACTTTCTCTGCTGCTCCTGTCGGCAGAGTTATTAAGAAACCGTAGGACCTTTGACTGCTGTCACACGGAGAAGTGGGAAATTGGTCTGTTTTAAAAAAGAAAACGCATGCGTGAAGGGAAGGGAGTTCACTTGCACGTGGTTTGGGGGCCAAATGCAACTTCCCTTCTTCGCCCAGGTCCTGGGTTAGGTCTCTCACCGCATGGTGAGATGGGGATGTTGCCACAGCCAAAAAGAAAATAGCCATGAACAGTCGATCCTAGCTAATATAGGTGCTATGGAGGTATTGTTTGGTTTACTGAAGTTCAGGTTTCTGTCTATTCCTGCAGTCTTGGATCAGTAAAAACGCTGAAGCCGATGCTAACCTAAATCTGTTCAATGTGACAGAACAAGATGAAGGAGAATATCTGTGTAGAGCCAACAATTTCGTAGGCATAGCCGAAAAACCATTTTGGCTCCACATTCGCAAACCAAAACCAGGTAAACCACAGACTCTGTCCCAAGGCCCTGGCAACTGCAAGAATGAGCTATAACATTTTAAAGAAGCTAGTGATTAAAATTACTATTCATTTTGTATTATACCCTGTCAACTGACGCTGAATGGCTTTATCTTATTTTCTTGCTAATTTTTTTTTTTACAAGAATGTAACGCCTATACAGCAATTGCCATGGAAAAATTCCCACAATAAAATGACTGTCAAATTTTGCTATCAACTCTTCATGCTTTTATTCCTTTCCCTTCCTTACAATTGAGTGCTGATAACAGAATTGCATGTTAATGACCTGTGACGTTCAAAGCTCTGGAAAACCAAGCTGTTTCGAGATTTTCACTCGTAAAACTGATATAATCAGTTCTGTCCCTTGAAGAAGTAATGGAGAAATAAATAGCAACATTGGCTCATGCAAGCAAACATGTTAAACAGAGAGCAGCAGCAGTCTCATGGGCTCTGGGGTTTGACTCCAGCCGGGAAGGTCTGGCTGCTGTGTTGCTCAGTGCCACTGCAGGAAAGTGTCTTACAGGCACCTTCTTGTTATCGGCCAGAGTTATACTACAGTATCTTGGGCTGTGTAATCAATATATGGTTTTGAGATGCCCACTCTGAAAAAATTCCAAAAAAATTCTAAAATTCTATATTTTTCAAGGAGCTAAGAACCAAAATGTTTGTGTATTCCTCTGATCAGCACTTGAGTCTTTCCCCACTACATCTCCCCTCCATTCTCATTTCTTTCTGTCTTTCCTCTCCTCTTTTACCATCATCCTTTCCCCATCCCTCTACTCACCCTACTAACCCAAAGTCAGTCATATTGTGAGGGCAATTTTTCATTTGGATGCTTTTGCTTGCATGCTTCTTTAGTGGGACAGAGTAAGAACCTGGTGAAGGGAACTTTTTTTTGCTTTTGACTACAGGTTGCAGAGGGGAATGAATAAATAAATGTGGAAGATGGGCCATTGGAAAATAAAAAACAACCCACCTTAATCTGCTTTTGAAATTTGCCTGTGGTGTCCTCACACTTGCTGGGAATGTGGCTTATTCTCTGTTTTCCTTCTTTCTATATGTGTGTTTTTTTTCCCCGTAGACGGCAGGTGTTAACACAACGGATAAGGAGCTAGAGATTCTGTACTTGCGAAATGTTACTTTTGAGGATGCTGGGGAATATACTTGTCTCGCAGGGAATTCTATTGGGTTCTCACATCACTCTGCTTGGCTGACGGTGCTACCAGGTATTTCCTTCTGTGCTGGCCTCTCCTTCCCTCTCTCCAGAGTGCCTTGACATTTTGCTTTAGAAATGCCAAGTTCCTGCAGATCGCCCCTTGCTTGGAAGAAGGGGCATCACCGAGGGAGGGCTCTCCTGTGGGATTTGCAGACCCCTGTTGCCAAAATTAGGAGCTTTGTCTTTTACACTGCCAGTGGGAGAAGGAAACCTCCCCACTCGGATCATGTAGGGCACCAAAATTGGACATGGACTGTGGATCATCTTATGGAGGAACCTTTCTGTCTAACCTCGTATCTTAACCTAAAATTAGATGCATAAGTGGTCGGTGTGACTACACCCTTCCCTGCCTGTAGCATTATTTCCACTTCACGGATGAACAGGCCAAGATAGTGATCTCAAACAGAAGGTCGGGGAGAGTCATCTGTAGGCAGAGCCCAGGAGTCCTGGCTCCCAGGGGCATTGCATGCTGCCTGCTCCAGCTGGGATCGATGAAAGCTGCAGTGGGCTTGAAACCCAAGGCCAGAGTGACCTCAATTTTGTGGTCCTTTCATGTGCAAAGCTTTCATTGACAATGAAGCCAGCACACAATATGCAACAGAGGGGTCTGCTCTCCAAAAGAGGGGAATGAGGCTGTGCTGTCCCTTCACCTGCAGAATCTGCCTCCGGCTACGGGGCAGGCTTGAGCAAGGTCCAAGAAAGCACCAGCAATATTCATGTTGAATCTGATGGGTGCTGTGCCTTGCAGAGAGTGCAGGAACAGACCTGGAGTATGTTCAGTAGATCCTTACTGAAAGGGGACCCAAAATCCTGTACACCCCACTTTGGCTTACCCAGTCATAGACCACATTTGGGTCCATCTCGCAACACATCCGTCTCAGGATGTGTTTAAGAACTGGAAACATTGGCATTTCTAATCTTGACTTTATCTGTGCGAGGGATTTGGATGCAGTCGCTTCTACTGGGGCTCGAGAAGGTCTCCTCCGTGCCTGACCCTGCTGCCAGTGAGATCTACTGGTCTTTTCTCTGTTTATTTGCCAGCTCTATAATAGCTGATCTGATCCTGTTTCTGCTTCTGCCATCCACTGGATGAGAAATCATTTCCTTTGGTTAGAAGACTAATGTCTCTGTTATTTTGAGAATCTCCTGATAATGTCTCATCCGACTGTGTTTACAAAGTATGAACTTACACGTCTTATTTAAGCAAAGAATAACCCGCCAACAAACCTGAAACGGAACTTTATATTGAAGTCAGATGCAGTGAAGAACAGCCGTCTGTGCAGCAGCAGGCCCCGAAGCACTACCCACAGAGAGGGTGCAGGATACAGCCCGTCTGGGGAACCTTTGCTTGTAAATACCTGTCCACGCTACAGGAGGAGAGATACGGAGCAGAGAGCGAGATGGTGTGAGCTCAGGCAGCAGAGATGTGGCACCGACCATAGTGCCTGATCCCGGGAGATCTGGTAACCCTTCCTCACAGGAGGAGATGCCCGCTTGGCAGGATCAGGCCCTGCACAGCTGGCACACAGGCTGGTGCAGCCCCCAATGTCACCGACAGCCCTTTCCCCATGTCCCTCTGGACACAGGCGCTGAAGACCTGACGCGGAGCCTGCTGCTGCCAGGGGAAAGCTCTCACTGCTTGCCGAAGAGACTGCTTTGGGGCAGCAGTGATGTACACGAGCCGTTAGCGAGCTAACCACCCCGGCATGACTTCATTATAAAGTTTCCCACTGCTGACTGTTCCTCTGATGCCAGCATGCCTTTGGGGGACAGAAAACTAGTCCCACCATGGCCCCTTCCTCTGGTCTACGTGCCTGTCCTGAAAGGAACAAGGGGAGAAACACAGCTGAGTTTTGCTGATCCCAAAAAAATTCTGGTAGCAGGTAGCCACTGCTGATGGGCTCATGCCATCACTCTCCCAGCTAAGCCACCTCTCTGGGACAGATCTTCCAGCCTCTTCCCAGCAGAACTAAGATTTCCTGAAATATTTATGCAGATTGCTTTCCTAAGGCTATTGCCCTATGTGATGCCTTACCCCTGGATGTCCTTCAAGCCCCTTGGTCTCTCAGAGCAGGCACTAGCCCGGTGGAATTTCCCTAGGGAGAAGCCGAATCGGCAAATGCATGCGGCAAACCCCAGTCCTGCAGCCTTTGCACACCCGAGGCATCCAGCTACGTGGTGTGGATGTGCGAGGAAAGCAAGATCTGGGTCAGAGGGGAGCACAGACACGTGAAGATGCCTTCAGCCTAGAGCAGTGGTTTTCAACCTGTGGGCTGAAGGTTTTTAGAAACCCCAGGGTTGCATCAAAGGGCAGTAAAATTACCCCAGAAAAGGCAAACTGAACGAATGTTTTAGCTACAGCCGCAAGTGGAAAACCACTGGCCTAGGAAAGTCCCCTCACTGAAGTCACTCGGCAAATTGGCGTAGATGAGCAGATCCTCTGCAAATTCTTTGCGCTGCATGTGTGTAGTTGAGCGTGGGCAGCTGCCTGTCCCATCCTGACTGCCATCTCTTGTCACCCCGCAGCAGAGGAGCTCATGGAAATGGATGATTCAGGCTCAGTGTACGCTGGCATTCTCAGTTATGGCACTGGCTTTCTTCTCTTCATCCTGGTGCTGGTCATTGTGATTGTCTGCAGGATGAAAATGCCAAACAAAAAAGCCATGAACACCCCCACTGTACAGAAAGTCTCCAAATTTCCACTCAAGAGACAGGTAACAGAAAGTAGATACAAGATTCCTATTCCCCGCTATGGTCATCCCTGGTTGGTTTTTTTTTTCCCCTCCTTGAAATTTCCTCTCTAGGTGAGAAGCTCCACCAGAAAAACATTGCCCAAGAAGGACACAAGTTGGCTATGTTTAGGAGTTTAACCCCCTTTTGTTCGTTTGTTTCTGTTCCAGTGGAGCAGTAGCTGGTGGCAGCTGACTCTGCCTCATGAGCAGCTCCCAAGCAGTCGCGTTTCTGTTCCCTTGTCCAAGAGGGACCGGCAGTGCAGCTGTGGATGCCACAGAAAGTACATCTTTGCAGGGGAACACTTTAGTCCAGGCTCCTTGGTGGAGCGGGGATTTGAGGAGCAAGAGCATGTTTAATTGTGCTCGTTCCTACTTTCGCGGAGGTCACTGGTGAACCTGAACCAGTTCTCGTGGATGTGGAAGAGGGTCCTTTTTCTCTGTGCAGTTGAGAGATGCTTTGCCACCTGTAATTGCAGAGGGACAGGAGAAAAAGGCAGCATGTAAAATACATATGGTGAAGGATACGGATTTCACAGCTTTGGCTGCAAGCTTACAGTGCCAGAACAGAAGTCACTCCATAGCCTGTACGTGCTGTGGAGATGCACACAGAACAAATGAACAGATTATCCTTCCTGCCTGCTGGAGGGCACCGGCTGACCTGTCCCTCCTTGCCACCAGCTAAAAACCTGACCTCAGGTGCCTAGATCAGTGCCTTTCTGCAAGGATGGGGGGAGAGGTGGAGGGTGGGGCAGAATTTCCCATTTAGAAATTACCAGAAAGGTGTCAGTAGGCAAGGATAGCTCAAACCCCCTCAGTGATCCATCTCAGGCACTGCCCACCCTGGGAATACAGTTGGCAATAACACTTCATTTGCTCTACCCAAGCAGGTGTCATTGGAGTCCAACTCTTCCATGAATTCCAACACGCCCCTAGTCCGGATCACACGTCTCTCCTCCAGCGACGGGCCGATGCTGGCCAATGTCTCCGAGCTGGAACTGCCTCCGGATCCCAAGTGGGAATTGGCACGCTCTCGGTCAGTTAAACCCACGGGTTGGGGTCCCTGTGCCTGTGTCACCACCCCAGTACCCACTAACGTGCCTGCTTGTTCCTCCCTCCAGCTTGACTTTGGGGAAGCCGCTTGGCGAGGGGTGTTTTGGCCAAGTGGTGATGGCAGAAGCGATTGGGATTGATAAGGACAAGCCAAACAAGGCCATCACGGTTGCTGTCAAGATGTTAAAAGGTATGGGGAGTCCACGGAGGGCAGAACAGCATATTGCGCTGGGATTTCCTCTCTTTGCCTCTCTTTTAAGTCTTTTATACAAACAGATACAATAGAAGAAAGCAAGAACAGTCTTTCTTCCCCTTCACCGACATAGCCTGGGGGAGAGGGCTGTCTCCTTGGAGAGCACATAAAAGTGCAAATCCCATCAGGAAGAGGGAATGGGAATTAACCCAGTTCTCTGCCAAGGGGTAATAGCATCCCTGAGAAGAAGGGGAACCCCCTTCACTTCTAGCTGTCTCCATGAATCAGCACTGCCTGTTCTAGCAAAAGCTTGTGCAACAAACTCGGGTGGAGTTTGCAGAAATTCGGCTGACAAACTCCTTCTTGAGGAGTTTCTTCATTGAAGAAACTAGATCCCAAACTCCTGAGAGGTTAAAGGGAGGCAAAAAATGGGGGAGTCACTGGGCATCTCTGGATAAGTCTCTGTTTCCCATCCTTCCCCAGTGCACAGTAACCACAGACAACACACAGACAAAATAACCCTGAGGCGTTCAGCTGGAGTAAGTGGGGGAGATGCTCCAGCAGTGAGCAGCCCGGGGTTGAAGTTACATTGGGTGACATCTTAAAAAAATGATTTATCAGAAAAGGATTTGTTTAATTTGCATTTCCTTCAGTCCTTTGTGAAGTTGGTTTTGGAAGCAGGAACATTTCCGTGTTTCCAAACCAAAGCATTCATTTGAGGAGGTTTTCCCCCATTCTTCTACTTTTGTAGAAAAATTGCAGCTTTCCATGCAAAAAATGCATTCCTTCCTGTAGCCCCCCTCCCAGCTCTGACCTCCCACCATCCTTAACTCTTTGCGCCTGGAGATGCAGGAGGGAAACGATAAGTAAAGCAAAATGATCCCAGGTACCAAAACTGACCTTTTTTCTTTAATAATTACCAGGCTGAAACAGAAGACGTTTATTTGTTCATTTATTTGTTTGGGTTTTTTGTGGTAGTAGGTTTTGGTTTTATTTTGATTCTTCTTCCCAAAGTAGAATAAAAACAAATACCGCCATATTTTGAGTACTGTTTCCCCATCAAAGCCCCACATGGCTATGCAACAGTTGTATTAGCTACTTCCCAAAACACTTATTTTCTTCCTGACGTTTTTTTGCTCTCCTCTCTTGCTTTCTCCAGATGATGCCACAGACAAGGACCTTTCCGACCTGGTCTCTGAGATGGAAATGATGAAAATGATTGGGAAGCATAAAAACATTATTAACCTCCTCGGTGCCTGCACACAGGACGGTATGTAGCAAAGCAGCCCAGTGCTTGCAGGGCTGTGGGAGGCTCAGGTTTGACTGTCCCTTCGGTGTAATTACTCACTGGCTGCCCGAGGTGTCTCAGATGAGATTTTGGTGGTCAGCTGTTCCTCCGCTGGATGCTGATGTGCTCTTGCTTGCAGGACCGCTCTACGTGTTGGTGGAATATGCATCAAAGGGGAATTTGCGGGAATACCTCAGGGCACGTCGCCCACCTGGCATGGACTATTCCTTCGACACCTGCAAGCTGCCCGAGGAGCAGTTGACATTTAAAGACCTGGTTTCCTGTGCCTACCAGGTGGCCCGGGGCATGGAGTACTTGGCATCTCAGAAAGTGAGTTGAGAAACCTCATTTGGTAGAAGCGTTGGTCAGCCCCGTGTGTTCAAAGGCATGCCATGCTCTGTGTGTGTGTGTGTGTGTAGGACAACCTCAGGCAAAGCGTCGCAGGCTTCTTGTTTTAGAGACCAGATTCTTCTGTATGAAGTATCTTGGGTTTTTTGCTGGAGGTTTCATCCATGTGCAAAAGTTCCTGTGTGCTGGCTGCACCCATGAGCCGTGCAGCTGTACACCCCTCGGTGTCACCTGCAGGCCCATTAGCATCCCCAAAATGCATATAAAAGCACAAGCAACCCAGACCTTGGAGTCTGTCCTCACCAATTCAACCTCTACCACTCGTAGAGGTAACTGTCTTTCAGGTGTGCAATCCTGAGGCTTGAGCAGCGGTGGTCAGGGTGAGCATCACGCCAAGTTGTGAGCTTCCACCGTAGGAAACATTACATTAGATAACAGTCAGGAGCTGCGTGCACCCCTGTCCCCCCCACCATCTCCCTTCTGAGATCACTAAAGATGCAGAGCACTCAGGAGAAAGCTGAGATCCGAGATCCTGGGCATAGTCCACGTGTTTGCGGCTGTCACCAGGATGTGTAGGCTCGGTGGGAGAGGAGCGGGCGGTGGATTTGGCTCGATGCACGGCCGTGCCCAGGATGCTCCCTGGGGAGCACTTTGCTGGCACTAAGCCGGCTGCTGCGTTTGCTTACATCATACCCTGGGATTAGTCCTGATTTACCCTGACATCAGCAAGCGGAGAGTCAGGCTTCGGGTTCACGAAGCTGTGCACCAGCTGGCATGACCTCTTTTTGCAGGCAGAGAGCACTACGGCAAAAGCAAGTTCAGTTCAGATGTCAGATGTGTTTGTCCTGTGACTGCAGTTCAGGGTGGATGGTTCGTGGTGGCTTTAAATTCCCTTTTTGCACAGTGCAGACTAATTTAGCTTCTTTCTCAGCTAACAACTGTGATGTTGCGGGTTGAACTAGGTGACCTTAAAAAGGTATTTTTTTCCTTCAAACATCAGCCTGCACTCCTCTTCCTGGAGGACCCAGGGCAGAAAGACAGCTTCACGTCCCAGTAAGCACCCACAGAAGAGGAGGCTTGGCTTTCTCATCTGTGCATCCCCCTTGGAGAGAAAAGACGCGTGGCTGTGTCAGCGCCGAGGCTGCCGATTAGGTGTTGCTAAGAGGTGGTTCCCACCAAGCATGCATGATGGGGCAGTGACACAGAAAGTGAGGAGTTAAGCGATGCCCACAGCTTTATGAGCTTGGGAGTCAATGAAACGGCAGCTCATAAACCGCACGGTGCTGTTGGTTCCAGGCGCGAGCAGCTAACAAGCCCTTATTTATTGACTTGCTCACCTTTCACAGTGCATTCATCGCGACTTGGCAGCCAGGAATGTGTTAGTCACTGAAGACAATGTGATGAAAATAGCTGATTTTGGCCTCGCTAGAGATGTTCACAACATCGACTATTACAAGAAAACCACCAATGTAAGTACAGAGCTGCCAAGCACATGCAGTTCTCCTTCTGGCAGGGAACTCGGTCATCCCGGCTGCAAGTGGCCCTTGTCCCACCTCTCCCTTTCTAGAGGAGTTTAGGAGGAAGAAATCTGCCGGTGGCCTCACCTAGTGAGGGACCCAGATAGGCTGGTCCCAGGAGTCCACCCACCATCTGCTTTCTTCCTGACGGGTACTGCTGCTGCTAGCAACTGGTTGCGAGGTCTCAGCTCTGGCCAGGAGGCTTTAGACTAAGAGAAACCGATGTTTTTACCAAAGGAGAATGGAGTCCTTTCTAGTCTGTTCCACTGCTGTTCCTAAAGGTCCCAAGGAGCCAACTTCTGTCCCACCAGAGCCTTTGGCGGAGGAATGTCACTTTTTGTATACCTGGAGCTACCTGGCTTTCATATTTTTCTCTCTCTTTTTCACAACTGAGCCTCTTGACTCCACTGCCAAGGGTGAGAAGATGGTCCCAGACAAGGGTTGAGTCCTGGAGACGTTTATATTTTCTGTAGAGATGAATTTACAAATGAAGGGCCGGAGAGAAGACCCACGTCTTGGTTCAGAGCCCTGCAGCACGTGTTGAGCTCTGAGCAAAAGCTGCGACTACAACAGAGCGCAGAGATGGCAGTGGAAGAGGTTGAAGGCATTGCAGAGCCCGAGGGCCTTGCGACTGCAAGGGGTCAAAATGTCCAGGCAGTCCTGTGAATACCACCATGCCCATACTGATCCTTCTAATATCATATCGTAAATCTTTCTTACTTGCCAGGATTTCTTAATCATAAATTAGTAAAAATTCTTGGGAATTTTAATCGTAGATCAGATGGATTTTCCCTGTTTGAGCTGCATTGGACAGCTGAGAGCATAATCCCATTTGTGCATCCTGCCTGTGTCCCATCTCTAGTTGTCTCCCCCAGTGAGACAGTGGGTCAGAAGAGGGCAAAGTCCCCCCATAGCCAAATTGTGCCTCAAACATGAAACAATCCTTTCTGACTCCCTCCAGGGGCCAAGCAAAGCCCCAAAGAATTATGATTAATCTAATCTTTCTCATCTCATATTTCTCACATGTGACAGCCCATGTTTATGACCCTGATGTAGGATGTTCTCCTGGAAATCTGGGATCAGGCCTCTCCTCTTTTAGCCTCCAGCAGGGTCAGAATTTTTTTCTTAGAGAATCTGGCCCTTGCGTTCACTCTTGGAAGCTTCCCTTCAAATTCAGCCTAAGCCAGGTTTGGACTTGGAGTCAACTGCTTCTTCCAACCAAAGACACAGAAAATGTTGTCCCATGCTCTGCTGCAGAGCTCGCTGTATTTATGAGCAATGGATGCTGTTCCCATGCAAAGATTTAGATGCGCTGATACGTTAAACCTGCCTTGGCAGTGAAATACAGTCCTCTACAGAGAGCATTTACTGCAAAGATTGTCAGCGAAGATCCAGGGATCAAACGCTCTAATCTGTTTATATGTGGCTACTACTGTTTTGCCCAGTGACCGGGAAGGCAGATGTGGTTGTTAATGAAAATGTTTCAAACTGGATTAGAAAAGAAGATTCAGATGGTGCCGTTGTGGCTGGGGGAATATGCTGATGGGATGTTCCCATTGTCTTCCTAATTACAGGGTCGGCTGCCTGTGAAATGGATGGCTCCAGAAGCCTTGTTTGACCGGGTCTATACTCACCAGAGCGATGTGTAAGCATACCCGCACTTTTTTTAAAAAATAAAATGACGGGGAAATCAACACTTATAGTATCTTAAAGACAAATGTACTGCTAAGCACGAGCAGGGCTCATTCACTGCTGGGGCACCTGGGGATGCAGCAGCAAATGAATGGATTCCAAGCTGCAGCTTTGCACACGTGGTTTTATTTTACCGTTATCTAGCTGCTTTCATCCGAGGATCTCTAGTAAGCTGCTGAAAAATTATTGGAAGGCAGGCAGATATTTCTTGTCCAGTTTATAGATGAGGTGATTCATCCTGCAGCAAAAAAAATTTGTGCAAGAAGACCTCCTTGCAAAAAAAATTACCCTCGGCTTCCTCCATGCTTTGCCCCAGACAGTTAGGCTTCAGTTGAGTATGTGGGATGAGCTTGAAATATTCTGTCTGCTGTTAGTAGAGCTGATCACAGAATATTCAACAAACATATTCTCAGATTAATTTTGCCGCTTTGTTTATTTTCTTTATTTTTCCTAATCTTATCTCGTCCGTTTTAGTGCCTCTGCACAGTAAGCAAATAGCAGAGCCCGCCTTATGTGTACATCTGTATCACGTCTGAACTTTGCAAGGGCTGAAGTAGCTCAGCGTGCACACTGGCTTTTTTATTTGAATATTTGGTCAATAATGGCATTTTTACAGTAATTCAGCAGCCAGCCTGCCTGCTCCCCAAAGCTCACTGCTTGCAGTTGGACAAATGAATCTTTTCTATTTCTGTATTTTTCACATACTTCGGGTTTTATTGATCTTAAATCATAGTTTCCATGCTTAGGTAATGCTGCAGTGGGCATGACAGATAAATCAAGGCTAGAGAACGGGAGAGCGAGCGTGCATGAAAGCAAAAGAGAGACAGATAATCCCTGTTTTTAAAAAGAAACTGAAGAAGGCAAAAGATACTTTTGAAAAAGAGGACTTTTAACCAGAGCACAGCTGTGGGATGGAGTGTGTAACATCAGTGCTCCGCTGATTTTTGTTGGGGTATTTTTCTCCCAGCTTGGCTAGCGAAATGAGTGTTGTAACAAGCAAGTTTTGGTATCAGCTTGCACAATTAGTGGCCTGTGGTTCCAAGCCTGCAATTCAGTGAAGCTGTGCATGAATAATTTGATTTGTTCCATTCAGTGGAGCTGGTGGAAGACCTAACAAAGAGCTGGGGGTGATAGATGGGCTGTCACCTATCTGATTAAATGCTCATTTCAATTTCAGACTTGGTGCCTGGGATTTCTTTGCTATTGAGTTGGATCAGCAGAGATCTCCAAGTAACTAGTAAAAATGGCCTAGGCAATTAGTCATGCTATTGATGACTTTGTTAGCTATGCATGGCTGCACAGAAATAAAGCCAAGCAGGGGGGAGGGTATATGAGAAGGGGCTTGGAAAAAAACTTCATTGAATTTTAAAGATCTTTCTTTGGTTTCCAGCTGGTCTTTTGGAGTGCTACTATGGGAGATCTTCACTTTGGGAGGGTCTCCGTACCCGGGAATTCCCGTTGAGGAACTCTTCAAACTCTTGAAGGAAGGCCATCGGATGGACAAACCCGCAAACTGCACCCATGATTTGTGAGTGTGTGTGGAGGGGTGACCTCCTCGCCCTACTCCCCCTTCCCTCTGTGACCAAATACTGCCCCAGGCCATGGTTTGGGCTGTTTGGGCATCCCCGCTATGAGATTGTGCAGCCATCTCCAGGTAGGCTCCCTGACCCCAACTCATTTCGGCTCAGCCCATGACTGCCGAGCAACATTATGCACTTGCCCTCCTTTGGCGGGTGGCAGTTGGGAGTATTGCTCTGGTGTGTCATCTTTAGGACAGGTCCTCCTCCTGCTTTGAGAGCGCGGACATGTGTGAGATGATCAGTAGCGAGGAGCGTGACTCCACAAAACCCTCCCACAAAACCCTCCTCTTCCTCCTCCCCCAAGCTGGCCATGCGCAAAGGCCACCATGGCTGGGGTTGCGTTGGCCTTAGCTGTTCTCTCAGGTGATTTGGGGGTGGGTGGGCAGGAGAGTGGGCACTACTTAGCCCCACCATGGGTGACGGTGCCCCCTCATGCAGGTACATGATCATGCGGGAGTGCTGGCACGCCGTTCCTTCGCAGCGACCCACCTTCAAGCAGCTGGTGGAAGACCTGGACAGGGTCCTCACCGTGACGTCCACTGACGTAAGTGTGGTGGGGGGGGCACGGGGAGGGGTCATTCGTCGGGTGACGCCCAGTGTTGATGGGTCTGTTGCCCTGGCAGGAGTACCTGGACCTCTCGGTGCCCTTCGAGCAGTACTCACCGGCCGGCCAGGACACCCACAGCACCTGCTCCTCAGGGGACGACTCGGTCTTTGCACATGACCTGCTGCCCGATGAGCCCTGCCTGCCCAAGCACCCTCCCTGCAACGGTGTCATCCGGACGTGAGGACACCCCAGGCAGACGGACGGATGGATGGACAGGCAGGCAGCGTGCCCATGGAGACGCAAGGATAGGGCGCCAAGGATAAAACCGAAGTGAAGGATCTTCCAATGGAACTGCGGGGTGGTACCCGGAGATGTGTGTTGTTGAGCTGTTCAGGGTAAAAAGAAAACAAAATTTACTTTTTTTTTTGTTTATTTTTGTTGTTGTTGTTGTTTTTTCCCGTTTGCTGTATAAAAAGTCAAGAAGCACTGTTTGGCCTGAAGGAACTAATCTCTTGCCAAGATGGTCTATCATATATGATTTTTTTTTTTTTTTGGTTTATTTTTCATTTTGGAGTTTTTTTTTTTTTTTAATAAGCAAAATGTTGAACCTGGGGGGCACTGACCTCCCAGCCTCCGCGCTTGCGTTTCGAGTGACAGAGTAGCCGTTCTGTGCCTGCAATACGAAGAAGAGAAAAAAAATCTTCCTTTTTTTTAAAAAAAAAACACAAAAAAAAGTGTAAAGAATGTAGAAATTCTTTGCTTATGCAATCTGTACATGAACCTTTTTGGTGGAGCTGAAAAGCCACGTTGCCTGCAGGGATTCATATATTTATAAAAATATCTATATTTTTGTTGTCGTCGTTTTTATAGCTTCATGATCGTACTACCCAGCTACATAGAAGGAATCCTTTTTGGAAGAAGAACAAAAAATTCAATAAAATGCAAATCATCATGGAGAAAAGGAAAAAAAAATAAAATAAAAAGAGATGGTCAAA